CTGCTCAGGGTTGAGAGGAAGAGTTCCCATCACCAAGGTGTGTAAAACACTCCCAGGAGTTGCGAGGCTGCCAGACTATTCTTAGTCTTGACTTTGTCCAAGTTACATAACATCTTTTGGCCTCGGTTTCCCTGTTAATAAAAGGAATGCTGTGAGGAATGAAATGAGTTAATGCAAGTGGCTGCTTAGAGAATGCCCAGGACTGAGGTCTGGGTGCAAATTATTCTTATGTGTGCCTCAGTTTTCTCATAAAGTGGTGAGAAGGGATACCTAAGGAGCCTGTGTCCATCCCCTACTCTGGTTTTCTTCTCCAGTGAACACACTGGAAAGTCTTGTCACCCTGCCTGGCTGTCCTGTGTAGCCTGGGGTTTATTTCCTGCAAGGAGGCCAGTAAACAAAAATAGATAGGGTTGGTGGGTTTCTTGGCCTGGTGTGCTGGGGTTTTACTCCTCAGTGCCTAGAGGATACGCGTCACAGAACTGGGGATCATAGAAGTGGGGATCAGAGAAGTGGGCTGACTTGGGGATCAGAGAAGTGGGGAGTTTCCCTCTCAGATGAATCAGCTGTGTGACCCAATCCTGGTCCCTGCCAGGGCCCCTCCCACCTGGCAGGAATGGGGCACAGCTGCCCCTGAAAGGGAAAATCCCCCAAATCCTGCCAAACCTCTAGCTAAAGTGTCTTCCTACTCAGATTGTTTCCTGTTCTCCTAGATCCTCACCCTCTTTCCTCAACCCCCTAGACTGGAGTTGGGGGTCAGGCAGAGTTGATCCCCCTGGACAGCTGATCTGACACTCCCTCTCTGGGCCTGGGACTTTACAGTGTAAATAGTACAGGGGGAGGCTTTTCTGATTTTTCTGGCCTCAGTCACCCTCCCTTTCATTTTACAAAAACAAGCAGAGGACAGGGGATTGTCCAAGTCTGGCCAGCCTACCCTGGGCCTAGGGTAATTCCCGATGTCAGGTAACCAGGAGCCAGCCAGCCAGAGCAGAGCCCTCCACTAGCTGAATGGTGGGCTTTGAGGGGCCCTTGCTGCATACAGGGGTCTGTCTACACTGTAGGCATGGAGCTTCTTCATGCTCAGGAAGACCTACTGGCTGCCCTGTCATAGTGGATCTCTGTTTCTTCATCAGTATTAAAGGGAAACCTTGGCTAGCCTGGCTCCCTGGTGGATCTGAGGATCCAGCCTGCATGCTTTGCAACTTAATGCTAATTCCACACTGGGTCTCATTTATTTCTGCTGTCTCCCCTATAGACACTGGGGTTCAACCACACACTAGGGGTGGACTTGGGTGACCTAGATTCAAGTCTTGGCTCTGCCACCTACTGTCTCTGAAAACCTTGAGGCACTTATTGACCTTCTCTGGGCCTCAGTTTCTTCTTCTACAAAATGGCAATAATAGACCCAAAATAAGCTTAGATGAGATAATGTAGGTAAACTCTTACTACAGGGCCTGGCTCTTGCTGACAGAATGAGGAGACTGAGGCCTAGAGACAGAGAGGGACTTGCATTGCATTACACATTTATTGAAGAATGTTTATTTAGCAACTGCACTGGCCTAGACCCTGTGTTGGAAGCTGAGGTTACTCTTAGAGATAAACCACAGCCACTGCCTTTGGAGGGCCCAGACACACAGAGAGCCAAAGGTGGGGAGGGTATCATGGGAGCATGGAAAATATGCTGGCAACTAGGGTGAACATGCATAGGGGAGGGTCCAGGAGAAGGACATCTGAGCCAGTGGATCTGAGGTGTGGAGGCAGCCAGGAAAGTGGGTGGGGGTAGCCATGCATGCTGGCACATGCCTATAATCCCAGAACTCTGGGATGTTGAGGCAGGAGGATCATGAGAACCGCTTGGGCAAGTGAGCAAACTATCTCAAAAACAAAAACAAGGAACACCAAAATTAAGGATGTAGCTCTATGTGAAAACACCATGTTCAAACCTCAGTACTGGAAAAAAGAAAGAAAAAAGAGAAATCAAAAGAGAAAGCCAGGCGTGGTGGTATACTCCTGTAATCTCAGCCCTCAGGAATCTGAGGCAGAAAGATTGCTGTGAATTCAAGGCCAGCCTGGGCTACATAGAAAGATCCTGTCTCAGTACCAAATCAGACCATACCAGATCAGACCAGACCCTGAAAAAAAAGGGGAGGTCAGGCCTAGCAAGCAGAGGCCACAACATGAGCAAAGGCCAGAGAAAGGCCATACACGGCTCAGGATTTTGGAACAAGGATGAGCAGGGAATGAAGATGAAGTGGGAAGGGTTAATAGGGGCTAGGTCTGCATCAGTTATGTCCTCCATTCCCTTAATAATTTATAGACGAGTTGCTCTGGGGTCAGGGCTAAAATTTGGACACTGCTCCTGCCTGTATGGATATGCCTGGGTACGTGGCTCAAGCAAGGACCAGTGGAGAGAGCTATCAATGAGGGGATTACATAAGTAACCTCAGGCTCCTGTGATCAGAGTTGCATGGCAGGTATTCTAGCAGAAGGAAGGCTGGAGGCCCAGGCAGAAAGACACGCCCAAAGGAAGCTGGGGCAGGCAGTGTGGGCCAGGTCAGTGTGGGCCCTAGAGTGGACTCTGTCCTGCAGGTTGTGGGGACCCAAGAAGGGTTTTTGGGTGTTTTGGGTTTTTTTCCGGAACCGGGGATTGAACTCAGGCCCTTGCGCTTGCCAGGAAAGCACTTATTCCACTGAGCCATCTCCCTGGCCCCTAAGAGGGGTTTTGAGGACAGAAGCATGGGTAGCTCTGTAGGGCAATCTATAGTACCAGTTGTGGGAGAGGGGATATAGGGTAAGGAAAATTGGAGGCTATTGCCATGGTTTGGGAAAGAGATAGGGAGGGGTGGGCCAGGGTAGGGCCATTAAAATGGAGAAAGGATGAGTGCAACATGCTTTGCTATAGAACCCATGAGGACTTTCCCAGGATCCTTTACCCAAAGCCTTGCCTTACTGTGGCTAAGGCAAGGGACTCATGGTCTGAGGCAGGCAGAGCACCAGGTTCCAACTCAGAGCCCACCACCTCTGGGGACTTCCCAAGGATGGGCTTAAGGGGACTCAGCCCTGGGGAAGCTCTGTGTGGGGAGGAAGCTGGGTAAGGGGCTGAGCCAACTTCTTATGACTCAGCCACTTCCACCCAGTCAGCCCAGTGGCATCTCCACTCCCCTGCTCCAAATTCCAAATTGGTGAGACTGCTAGAGGCTGAGTCAGCCCTGGCAAGGCACTCTGAGCAGCATCACAAGGGGCTCCCTGCCAATCCCTGATGGCTCACAACCAAGGCAGGGCTGGTCGGGGGAGGTGGGTGCAAGAGCCAGGCTCCCAGAGACAGCAAACGCTGGAAGGCTACAGCAGCCTAAGCAGAGGAGGGCACCTGCCCATGAATGGATGTGCAATATGGGCTGTGAAGAGCCAACTTCAGGTGAGACTTTCAGTGTGGTCAGGGGCCACACTCTGCCTAAGGCAGAGGCTTGGACAGAAGTCCCAGGTCTGCCCAAGTCCGAGATTTACCCTGAGAAAACCTTTCCCCTCCTGACCTCAATTTCTTTGATTATAGGGTGAGGCCAGGATCATCTTAAAGAGGTCACAAGAGTTCAGTGATACAAGTGAAACTGCTGGGCTGGTGAGATGGCTCAGTGGTCTGGAGCACCTACTCAGAACAAGCTTAGCAAAGCACAGAGACAGCGGTTCAATTCCCCAGCGCCACATGCCAGCCAGCCCCGCCCCCTGGTGGGCTGAGCTGCCCCCCCCCCACAAAATAAATAAATAAATGTTTAAAAAAAAAAAAGTGAAACTGCTTTGCAAACTGCCTGGTGGGAGGGCTGGGGAGATGGCTCAGTAGAATAAGTGCATTCCATCCCTGGTTCCACACAAAAAAAAAACAACTGCCTGGTGGCCTCAGCTACTGTCAGTGGCCTGTCAGGAAAGGTGAGCAGAGATGATACGATTCTACAGACACCCCCTATGGTTACAGAGATCGTAGGATGTGTGAGGATGTCCAACCCAGGGTGCTGAACCCTAGCCCATCCTGTTCAACCTGTGCTTCCTGGCAGGGGACTGCCAGGACTGAGAGAATAACTTCCTGCGATACACGCAAATGCACCCTTGGGCCTTCCTAGAAAAGTTAACTCTTAAGTTTATGGGGAACCACAGAGAAAGTGACTCCTATTTTTGGAAGCGGACTGGCTTTGCAGAGGTTCTGAGTGGCAGACCACCTCTACTCTCAACAGTAGCTTATTATTGGTATGAGGGCGGGGAGGAATCTCTCCTGACCCTGCCTCTCCCTAGCAACCACCAAGATATTTTATACTGTTGAAAGAATCAAGGGCCTTCCTATTGTGCTACATTCCTAGCCCTTTTGTCCTTTTTTTGAGACAGGAGTCTTACTAGGTAGTTCAGGCTGGCCTTGAACTGGCATTGGGTCTCCTGCCTTAGCTTTCTACCATTGGGTCTCCTGCCTTAGCTACTATGTCTGACAAACCTTTTCTATTTTGAGACAGGGTCCTGCTAAGTTGCTAACTTTGAATCTTCCTTCCTCAGCACCTAGCTCAAGACAGCATATAAAAAGTTGTAATCCCAGCACTTGGAAGGCTGAGGCAGGGAGACTGACCTCAGTTGGAGGTAGCCTGGGCTGTGAGTTCAAGGCTAGACTGAACTACATAGTGAGACCCTATCTCAAAAAGCAAAACCAAGGGCTGGTGAGATAGCACAGAGGACTAAGCACTTGCTCTGGCCAGTTGCTGGGACCAGGGTGTGATCCCTAGTCCCGCATGCCACCATGGCCAGCCCCACCCCCGGGTGCACTGAACCAGCGACCAAGTCTGGGCGTAGTGGCACAAACCTGTAATCGAAGTGTTGGAGAGGCTGAAAACAGGAGGATCACTATAAGTCCAAGCTGCATAGTGAGACCCTGTACCAGATACATGAATGAAAACAAATAGCAAAACCAAAACCAAACCCAAAAATCCAAACCAACAAAAACTGCCCAAAACAATAAAAAATACTCAAGATACAGACCCAAACTGGGTTTTATTGAAATGCCAGGAGCAGGCACATGTCAAGGCAGCCAAGGGAGAAAAGTGATGCAGGTCTGAGTTGGCAGGGAGGTCCCATGTCCACAACTCTGTATCCCCTCTGCCAGGGGCTGAGACAGCATAACTACGCTCCAAAAAAGGCATGCTCAGTCCTGCAGGGTCCCTGTCCCCTGGGTTACGCCTCCAAGAAGAGGGACTGGAAGCACTGTTTTCCCCTTTATGAGGGTTGGAGGTTAGGGTGACCAAGGAAGGCTCTCTTTCTGAGTATCTGCACCCAACCTGTGGTCCTGGGCAGTGGAAGAGAGCAGCACTGAAGAGGCTGAGATGCCAGCCCTCAGGGAGCCAGAGCGCCCAGGCTCTGGGACCTGCAATCAGTTCTGAAAAGAGGGCAAAAGCTCAAGAGACTGAAGATGCAGGCAGTGCCTGAGTGACCTAATCCTCATTGCTTTTGGGGACAGGGGGGTTTGGCCTTCTTGGGACAAGGAGAAGGAAGACAGCTGGATCCATCCCCAGCAACAGGGGCAGAGAATAGTCTTTTCCACTTGGCCCCCCTAGGTCAGTTCCACATTGTTGGCACGGTCCAGCACTCGAGAGCCACGGGCATTGCCTCCAAGCTGGAAACGGCTTTCATAGAGAGTAGGGCAGAGATGCCAGCGGTTGGCACGGTAGATGCCCAGGTAGGTGTAGACATCTGGCTTGTAGGTGAGCAGGCACTTAATACCTGCTGCACGGATGGCTGAATCTGCCTCCAGTACACCTAAGCGGTCCGTGAAATCATCAGTATAAACACAGATGACCTGGCGCCCACCCTCCTTGGCCCGTGGGCTCACCTTAGCTACCTGAAGCCGGCCCTCAACCACAGCTCGGGCAATGCCAGCCCAGGCATGGTCCAGCTTGAAGCCAGGTGCCAGGTGAATCAGCCACTTGCCTGAGAGCACATGGTGGGTGATGGCCAGCTGGCGCAGGGTACCAGGTGTAATGGGTCGCCCGCTGGTCTGCAGAGCCTCCCAAGCTGCCTGTAGGCCCTGCACGTCACCTGAGTTAGGGGTGTAGCCCTGACCATAGGCTGCAATCCAGCCTACAGGCTCAGAATTGGGTGAACCAGGGTCCCCATAGCGGGTAACTTGTGATGGTGGGTACTTGGCCAACCAGGCATCCAGTTCAGTGGCAGGTGAGGTGCGAGCATCAAACACCAGCCAAGGGTCCATGTCAGCTGCCATGGCCTCTGCTGCTAAGTGCTCAGCGGTGAAGCCGTCCTCACGACCACCTGGGGAGTCTTCTTCTTCCAGCTCCTCACCTGGCTCCATCCTGCAGGGAGGGAACTAAGTCAGGGCATTTTCTTAATAATAACTACAACCTGCTAAGTTCTATCCAGATGTCAGGTTCTACGTTAAATTGTGGGGCCTTGGGTAAGACTTAAAAGGCACTCTCAGTTGCTTTTCTACAATGGGATGACAAGATTTGTTGTGAAAATTAAATGCCTGAGGTGGAATAAGGGCTACTTAGGCACTGTGCTATAATCGCTACTCTCCCTGCTTAAATTAAAGTAAGTGGTGCTCAAAGAATATGGATTTGCCCAAGGTCACATCCGTAGCGCTCGACAGAGACGAAATGGGAACGCAAGGGCGGTAGCAGCTCCTCGTGGCCCGAGGCCGGCAGGTATCTGAGCGCCGAGATCTCGCGGTCAGAAGTCCAACTCCGGACACAGGCCCCGGAGTCAGGCCTCCTGGGCCGGGCTCCAGTGCCCACTTACAACCGGGACCTGAAGGCTCACAGCGGGCAGTAACAGGCCTGAGGCCACTGAACGGTGCCGGGACTCGAACTCAGGTTGGTGAGAGCCTGCGTGAGGGCCAAGCTCCAGGTCTACCGCCCCCGCCGCCATTAGCGCCCACGGCCTGAACACTGCCCCCGCCCCCGCCCCTCCCGCCGCCCCTTAGTCACCTCCGGCCTTCGCTGCGTTCGGCGCCGGCCCAGCTCCGGGCCCGGCTGCGCTCCTGCTGGGGCTCCGCGCCATCGCCGCGCCCCGCCCCCGCCACGGCCGCCGCTGCCGCCGCCATCTTAGTACCCCGCTGCCTCAACAACAACTTTATAGACAAGCACAACCACGGGGAGGGGCGCCGAGCCGCACCAGCGGACTGTGGGGCGGGGTCCACCGGGGAAAGGGGCGCGGTGGAGGGCGGGGCTGGCCGGGGGCGGTACCATTGCCGGGACCCAGGGAGAGGCGGGCCCACTAAAGACCAGGCCAACGTTCGCTCTTTGGGCGGGCGGTCGGGCGGGAGTGAGTGGCGTGAAGCTGCACTGACGCACAACGCCCGGCAGGCTCCGAGAGGAGAGGCGCTAGGACCCTGAGGGCCCCGGAGGGGGGCAGAGCGGGCGGCACCAGGACCCGGGGGAACGGCGACGGGCGGGCGGCGAGCAGGCCCCGGGGCCGGGAGGCTTCGGGCGGCGGCGCTGGGCCCGGCGCGGCGGGAGAGGCCCTGAAATGCCGAGCAAGAAGAAGAAGTACAATGCCCGGTTCCCGCCGGTAAGCACGCGGCCAGGCTGGGCGGGAGCGGGCCGGACTACGGAGAATTTGGGGCCCGGGCCCCGCGGGGGGAGGCGGGCACATCTCGGTGTCGGGGGCCCGCTCGCCCCGCCCCTTCCATGCCCTCTTGGCGCCCGTGACCCCCGCCCCCTTCCTCCCGGGGTACCCTCTGGCTATCCCCCAACTCCTTCGGGGTTGGGCGCCGAAGGAGAGGGCGTCCGAGCTCGGTCCCCTTCCGCAGGCACGGATCAAGAAGATCATGCAGACGGACGAGGAGATTGGCAAGGTGGCAGCGGCTGTGCCTGTCATCATCTGTATCCTGTCGGGGGCTGGCCGGGTTGAGGGGCGCGGGGAGGGCCAGGCACCACCCCTTCCCGCTTTCTCCTTGACGGCCCTCAGCCCGGGCACTCGAGCTCTTTCTGGAGTCTCTGTTGAAGAAAGCCTGCCAAGTGACCCAGTCTCGCAACGCCAAAACCATGACCACGTCCCACCTGTGAGTGGCCGCGGAGCTGGGAGGGGCCGCGTCCTGACAGCCAGGGAGTCAGGAGGCCCTGGGGATCCACGAGGCCACAGACTTTGGTGGAGAGTGGTTAGGAACCCCGGGCAGGGGTGCAAGCCCACTAAAGCAGGTGGGCTTGGGTGGAGATGGGCAGGGAGTTTTCCAGCTTCGTTCTCCTGACATCCAGGGGCCGGCTGTCCCTCACTGAGGGCCTCAGTGTTGGGCCCTACATGAGTGTCTCCTTCCCTGCCTGTTCCAGGAAGCAATGCATTGAGCTGGAGCAGCAGTTTGACTTTTTGAAGGACTTGGTGGCATCGGTGCCTGACATGCAGGGAGATGGGGAAGACAACCACATGGACGGGGACAAAGGTCCTCGCAGGTGGGGGAGTCAGGGCATGGTATACAGGTAGAAATGGCCAAGGCCACGGGGGTTGGGGGTGGTTGGGGGATAGTGAAGGAGTGGGGAGACCTCTGGGCAGATGGACTGTATCTTCCCGAAGGGGTCGGAAACCAGGCAGCAGTGGTCGGAAGAATGGTGGAATGGGAAGCAAAGGCAAGGACAAGAAGTTGTCTGGGACAGACTCTGAGCAGGAGGTGAGTGAGGTCCCCAACGCTCTGTCCTGCCTGGTGGTGCTAGAAAGGGTAGCTGTGCACCAGACTGAGTTGGCAGGAGGCTGATCCCATCCTTATCTTGACCTCTTCTGCTTTGGGCTGTGTGTATGAGTTGGGGTCCTAGGAGTCCTATTCCTGACACTCTTAGGGCTCTCCAGTGGTGGGTTTGTGCCTCTTGTTGTCATTCCTGACCCATGCTGTGTTCACAGGATGAGTCTGAGGACACAGACACTGATGGGGAAGAAGAGACACCTCAGCCTACAGCCCAGGCTAGCCACCCTCCTGGCCCCTTCCAGAGGTAAGCAGAGGAGACTAGTGAACTCTAAAGTCACTTGGTTTATTGGCTGGTTTCCCTTCCATCTGAGTGGTTACCTACTTTGTTGGTTGTGGCAGATTTGAGGGACGGGAAGGAATAGAAGGGAGCAGAAAGCAGGAGACTTTTCTGAAAAGGTTTTATTTCCTGTTCTGGTCAGGGCGGTGGGTGGATTGGGCAGGAGCCATGTGATCTACTTTGAGACCTTTATTTGGGGCCTGGAAGCCCTGTTACAGAAGGTGGTGGGAGTTGGGGCATGGTGCTGCATGCCTGTAATACCAGCGCTGGGGAGGCTGAAAACAGGAGGATCACTCAGTCTGAGCTGTATAGTGAGACTTTGTACCAAATACATTAAAACAAAAAAAGTGGTGGGCTTCACAGCTGCCTCTGTAGAGGGCAGGATAGAGCCGTGGGCTGGGGTGGGTGTTAAACATGGCCTGATATTCCTCCTGCTTTCTGCTCTGCAGCCCTTCGGCCCCCTTCATGCCCTTTGCTTCTACTCTGCCTTTACCCCCAGCACCACCTGCTCCCTCAGCACCCGACGCAGAGGATGAAGAGGATTATGACTCCTAGCGCCCTCTGCCCCCCAGGCCGTACCCCCTTTTAGTTGGTTTTAGTTGCTCTGGGGGGAGAAGAGAATATGGAAGTGTTCTTAAATTTATTAATAAAACAATAAAAGGGAATGTCAGTGTCTTCTTAGCCTGTGTTCGGGAGTTTATGGACACTGTCCCACCCCCCTCCCACTAGGAGCTGGGGCCAGTGATAGTGGTGGCCTGCCAGTGGTTGAGTGAAGGGGATGTCCGCTGAGGAAGCTGGAGGCCATAGGGTGCTGATGGGAGGAAGGGACCCAGGGCCTGAGCCAGCAGGTGCTAGATGTCCTCCTACAACAGGCTCACTGTGGGCCGGGGAGATGGCTCAGTAGGATAAGCGCTTGACTGGCAAACGCAAGGATCTGAGTTCAATCCCCACTTCCACCAAACAAACAAACAAACAAACAACCAAAAAAAAAAAAAAAAACCAGGCTCACTGTGCTGTGTGACCCTGGGCAGGATGCTGCCCTTCTCTGGGTTGTGATGGAACAGACAAGCCGGTGAGATTGTACCTTGCAGATGTAGGTAGGGCTCTGTGCCTGGTGCAGTGAGGGTGGTGGAAGAAGCAACAGGAACAGAGGTGGGTGAGACCGTAGCGGGCCTGGGAGGCAGCTTTGGAGCCCAGCAGTGATGCTTGTCCCCCAGGAGGACACAAGCCTGAGGGGAGCAGTGGCTTAGGACAGGAAGAAGGCAGATAGGGCATGTTGTACTCTTCGGGTTTGGGTCATGGGTACATTTGATTTTGACAAGATTGCTGGCTTCTTCCAGATGAGCAGAAACATCTAGGGCTCTGGTGGCTTCTTGGGAGGCCAGGTGTGGATGATGGCATTTGAATAGGACGAGGCAGGGGCACAGAAAGTGGTAACAGGTCTATTTTGACCTTAGACATAAGAGAAAGTAAGAGGGAGATAACCCTTAACAACCACACCCTAATTTTTCTCTGCAACAACTTTGGCAGGGACAGAGGCCCTTTTCAAACTGGGGGATGTAGGAGGAATGACAGGATTTGGTTGTTGTAAGTTTTGACTGTGATGAATTTGGGGTGCCCATGAGGGCACCCAGGGAGGTGCTGAGCGTGCATGTATGTGTAGAGGCCTAGAGACCGGTAACCTCAGGATGGAGAGGTCTAGAGGCCTAGAGGCCTAGAGACTGGTAACCTCCGGGTGGAGAGATCACCAAAAGAGAAAAGAGCAGCCAGACCCTCAGCTGCCCAGATGTTTCTGGAAGGGAAGGGTCAACTGTCAAATGCTGGGGACAAGGAGATGACGTCTTCGAGGTACCAGATGCTTTTGGCACAGGGGGAAACTTTGCTAGGGCTGTTTCAGTGGCTTGCTGGTTGTTGATGAGAGAAGGGCAGCTGAGGTGAATGAGAAACTGGACCATGCCTGGGGCTGCAGGGTATGGCTGAGACAGTGCTCAGGAGAGTGGCAGAGGTGGCAATGTGAGGCATGGAATGAGGTGGCTGGGTAGACATCTAGAGAACTGGAGCCTGGACCTCTGGAGGCCCTGTCTGCCTCCACTCTACTCCTACCTTGGTCACAGAGCTTCTGTTTCCTGTTGAAGAACTCTGCCCCAGTTTGAGTACATGCATCTTAGGGGTGGGCATGATGAGGCACCAGCCTGGCTAGTCGTATCACCCACACTCTGGACACAGTGACTGATGTATGGTGGGTGTTAAACCCCAGAACTTTAGGTAGGACTGTGTGAAAACGGTTTTGACAAGGTCACCAGTTGGAGATGACAGCAACAGCCATGCTGACATGGGCTGGGAGCTGTGGGAGCCACTGGCCACTCCAAGAAGCCGTGCTGCCAGAGAGTAAAGGGGCAAAAGTGGCATCTGGTCAGTCTCTCAAAATGCCTGGGTTTCTCAGTGACCTGAGCCAATAAATATTTCCCTTGCTACATCATTGGGTTTCTGTTTGTATAACTGAAAGAGCTTTAGTGACATGGGAATCTGAATGGTTTTTTAACTTTTGTCTTTTTATTTATTTATTTATTTATTTATTTATTTTTTAATTTTATTTATTTGTGTGTGTGTGTGTGTGTGTGTGTGTGTGTGGCCAGCTCAGCCCACCAGGGGGCGGGGCTGGCTGGCATGTGGTGCTGGGGGATTGAACCGCGGTCCCTGTGCTTTGCTAAGCTTGTTCTAAGTAGGTGCTTTAGACCACTGAGCCATCTCACCAGCCCCTAATTTTTGTCTTTTTGAGACAGTGTCTCACTATGCAGTTTAGGCTGGCCTTGAACTCAATAATCCTTCTGCCTCAGCCTCTGAGTGCTGGTATTACAGGCGTGAGGCACCACACCCAGCCTGGGGACCCTGAATGGAGGGTGGTCCTGGAAGCAATGTTTTCTAGCAGCAAGTTGGGGGCACAGCCAGGGAATAGGGATACTCAGAATCACCAGAGCAGAGGCTGTGCCAAGCAGGGCTGAGGAGTGGCAGTGGGAAAGGAGAGCCTTTTGATAAAGTACATCCAAAGTGTGTTCTGAGCTGAGAGGCCAAGAGCTGGGGTGCAGGGAGCAGCCTTCCTTTCATTCAGACAAAAGGCCCAGGGAGGCACTGGTGGATCTGAGTGTGCCCCTGGAGCAGCTGGCCTGGAGTTCTGTGTTTTTTTCTTTTTCTTTTTCTTTATTTATTTATCAATTTTTATTAGTATATATTCACTGTTCATAATGATTATGTTTCTCGT